TTTTTCTTTTTCTTTTTCTTAAGATTGGCCCTGAGCTAACATCTGCTGCCAATCTTCCTCCTTTCCTTCTTTTTCTCCCCAAAGCCCCGGTACCTAGCTGTATGTCCTAGTTGCAGGTCACTCTAGTTCCTCTCTGTGGGACGCCCAAGTCTTGATGAGCGGTGTGTAGGTCCACGCCCAGGATCTGAACCGGCGCACCCCGGGCCGATGAAGCCGAACGTGCAAACGTAACATCTCGGCCATGGGGCCGGCCCCCCTCAATCATTTTTAATCATCTTTGATACCCTACTCTCATACCTAGCACAGTGCTTTGCTCATAGGAGACATGTAATATATTTAGTAACTAAATATGAAACTCTTTTTTAATTCAAGCCCTTCAGCGCACACTGGACTTTGAATTGTTTTGGTCTTCTTCTTTATTTGGAGGGATGTAAGAACTCTAACTTGAATAAACTGTTATAATTAAAAATAAACAATAATTATTAACTGCATGATTAGCAATACCAATAAGTAAATTATATATATTAAAACTGAATATTACATTGCTAAAGCAATGTATTGCTTAAATATTTACTAGAGAAAATTAAAAAATTATCAGAGATACTGATAGATGTGCTGAGAAGATGCCATTTATTAATTCCAAGGCAGGTGCCAGGCTTACTTTCAAAGATTTTTCTCTCAGAGATAGTTATTTACTCTTCTAAATGAAAACATGTTGAAGAAAAGGTGCGATGCTTCTCATTTCCTAACAAACTACCCTATACTTTCCCAGATTCATACCTAGTGTCTGAAGAAGTTATTCAATGAGATAATCTATATCCCTTCTTAAAAGAGTTCTATTAAAGTGCATCCTCTCTTGATCTCTTGAGAATTGATGTTTCTGAAGCACAAACACACAAAAAATGTGTCCACAGTTAAATCCAGGACAGTGAGGAACAAAGGAACCCTAAATGGCCAGGACAACAAAGAGAGTGTCAAAATATAGTGGAGCCGTTTTAAAATGGAGTTGGAGCAGCTGGCCTGGTGGTGCAGCGGTTAAGTTCACACGTTCTGCTTTGGTGGTGCTGGGGTTCACTGGTTCGGATCCCCGGTGCAGACGTGGCACTGCTTGGCAAGCCATGCTGTGGCAGGCGTCCCACATATAAAGGAGAGAAAGATGGGCATGGATGTTAGCTCAGGGCCAGTCTTCCTCAGCAAAAAGAGGAGGATTGGCAGCACATGTTAGCTCAGGGCTAATCTTCCTCAAAACAAACAAACAAAAAACCACAATGGACTTGGAGCTGCCTTTCCAGAGAAACTGCCTTGCTGTTTTGAACTTTGGGTTGAGCCAAAATGGCAATTGTTTTACAAGCAATTAATTGAGAGGTCAGCAGGAGAACGGGCATCCTGATCACAAAGACTGAGGATTGTGGACTTTCTGAAGATAGAATCAATAGTCCACCAATGTTTAGCCAAGACTGGCTCTCTGCCTCCATCTCCAATTAAAATTCTTTATAATACAACATCCCTTTTCACTTTTAAAAGCCCCTGACTTTTACTCCCTAGTAAGACACTTTTTGGGTTTTTACCCGAATCTGTGCTCCCCAAATTGTTATTCTTTGACCCCAAATAAACGTTTTCCCTCTTAAACTGGTTTCTGTTTTTGTAGGTTGACATCTGGCGTCAGAAGTGAGACCTGGAGCAATCTCGCCTGGGCAGACCTGCATCCGCTGGAAATGACTTTGGTTCAAACCTGAGTCCCCTTCTGTGTTCACAACTTCCGTAAACCACTGACTCCTACCATCGTGAGCCCTCTCAGGTTCTGCTCTCCCTCCCTTTGGTTGAGGTCTTTGCCTTTCTTTAGGATTCTGGGGGCAATCAACCAGGAGACACTTATCTCCAAGCTGGCTCACAGCTACTGCCGTCTGGAAGGGTACCCCTGTTGGGGCCACCTTCCTACAGTGGCTCGAGGCTATTGCCATCTGGAAGATTTCTCTGTCTGAGCTGGCTGTGGTTGTTGATAAACGTTTAATCCCTATCTGGTGAGTACTCAAATTCTGTCTTTTGTGTTGTTTGTCCAAACAGCTGTAGCCAGTGGGTCAGAAGCACAGGTAACAACCTGGGGCTTGCAACTGGCATCTCTTTGTCCAGCTGTCCTTTAACATGGGAATTTCATCTTCCAAAAGTTCCCAAGAAGTTCCTCCCTCAGAAATTCCAGCTGGGTTTATATATAAGAACTACTGTTCTACCTCTTGTAAATTTTTATCTTGGTGGACTAATAATACTAAGAATAATTGAAAATTACAGTGGCAAATTCAGGCCTCATTAGAGCTTCCAAAACTTGTCTTTTTGCACGCTAGAATTTAAGACTAGAAATAAGATCTTTAATTTCTAAAGGATCAAGCATGCCATCTTCTGGCACACTTGCTTAAAAACTGTGATTCCCAGAAGCTGTAAATATTCACAAAGAACTGCAAAATATTACTAAGCTTATTTCATGTCCTGAGAGCTTGGTTTGGTAATTGTCAGGTTGGGGGCCCCAAAATATGATTAGACAGAAATGTGGGTTGCATTCCATTTGCAGACAGGGTCCTACCAAAATGCTGCCAGCCCTCAGGGGAGTTACACTGACCATTAGAAGGAATGTTGCAATTAGATAAGATCATTTAAGAAGTGTACTTAAAAGCGAAGGCTTAAAAATACCAAAATAGCCTTATTGAAAGTTTTGGTGCAAAAAGCTAACGGAAAAATAAGATATAAGAAAGATATACAAAAGTCTGTTAATGGCCCTACAGACTACCCCATATCTACCTTTGAAGGAAGGTCCCGTGTGGGCCCCTCCTAGATTTAACAAGACTCTGCGAGGTCTTCTGTTAAACAGTTACATTATTCCCTTAAACGGTCAAGAGGAATCTAGAATTAAAAATTAATGGAGTTATTTAGTACTGCCAGAAATATTTACTGTTTGTCTTGGCTGAAACGTGACAAGATATTTGAAAGGATTTAGTAACTTATGATCAGAAATTTGGCCAAATTGGAAGCTGATATTCAGAGCCTAGCAGGAATTTCTTTTAGGTTTCCTCCTACTAAGCTAAAATAAAACTACGTACCCAGAGCGAAAGAAACAAATTAAAGGTAATGTAATTGGATGGCTATGTCAGTCCTTGATAACTAACTAACCTTCCCTATTTATCTCAAAAATCTTGGGACCTCTCCAGGAACTCTTATCTGGACAATACCTGATTCCTAAGACTGAAGGGAAAAAAAAGGGAAAAGAAGATTTTGGAGCTGCAGACTGCTAAGGAAGCACCCTTGTCCAAAAATCTAATTTAAGGAAAATTTTTAAATGGAAGTTTTCTTCCATCTGTTGGGCTACACGGAAATGCAGAATAGGTTATACACTGCTTTAGGCTATTACTGCTTCAAATAAAGTAGTTTTCTTTGAAAATGCATGAATTTTTTTCATCATTATCATCTATCCATGCAATATAACCTAAGAAAGTTTATCATCATTTATTTGACAATGCTTCCCATGTAATTTAGCATAACAAGCCTAACTTGTTTAATATCTCCCCCCTTATAGCATACCTAATAAATTTCTGTCATTTAACTTAATTTAGCAAAACTCTAAGCTTTCAGAAAAGTTACCAAAAGGTTTTAAAGTTATTTTTCAGTACATATACCGAACAAATAATTTCTACTTTCATTTACAAAGAACATCAAGAACACAGTGCCCTTAGCTTAAATTGTAGCTATCAACCGATCATGAACAGCCTTTTGTATATACCCTACACAGAGTATCAGGACAACTGCTAAAACTAGTGTGTGTTGACTTCTTCGATCTTAAGTTGACAGAGGGCATGAGGGGGGCTTGTAAATTGTTGGTAATATTCTGTTTCTCAACTTGGAGTCTCACTAAATGGGTGTAGTCAGCTTGTGAAAATTATGATTTGTGTACTTTTCTATACGTATGCTTTTCTTCAAAAACACATTTACTTCAAATGCATATTTAAGCAATAATTACTAGGATCATAAAACTGAACTTTATGCTTCTTCCATCTAAGCCAAGGTTTCTCGTGTACCAAAGATCCATCTGGGGAATGGAAGAGGACTTTTGGAGCCAGAGAGGCTCGCTGAAATTAGTGCCCACTTGTGGGCTCTCAGAGAACGCATGAGAGTGGGAAAGATATGGGAACTGAAGTAAGAAAGGGTTACTTCTTGGGTTTGACTTTTTGTTGTTTTGTTTTAACCAGCATCAGACCTTCGGCACATTAATTATCTCTGTAATTTCAGTTTACTTATCTTTCGACATAGGAAAATACCCTCTAGGGCTATTATGAGAATTCAAAGAGATAAAGAGAGTCAGGCAAATATAATTCTATAAAGGTTAGTTCTCTTGCCAATGTGAATCCTATTTCCAGGGCCATTTCCTGGCATTATTTGTTTTCTAGATTGTTAAGTCTTATCACGAGAAGATAACAGCTGAGCTCTTTGATAATTCTGTCATGACCATGGACAAGAGAATTCATTTCATGAAGGGGAGGCTGTGATGTGGAAGGGCACATGGTCTTTTTAAGACCCATAGGTATAGACAGGTACCCGATGAGAATGATAGAGATCATCTTCTCAAAAATACAGGATTTTTAAATCCCTTACATATAAAAAGCTTTTATGTAAAAAACATAGGCTACATCTCAGTTGCATTTATTGGATTTTCTCAGCATTAAAAATTAACTCCAAATCTATTTAAAATTAATTTTTATTCATAACAGAATTACATTTTGTATTGAGAGTAGTACTCTATCTGAGGTCCATGAAAGTAGAAAACCGGAGTCCAGGGGCCAGCCCAGTGGAGCAGTGGTTAAGTTCGCACATTCCCCTTCGACGGCCTGGGGTTCGCCGGTTCGGATCCCGGGTGCAGACATGGCACCACTCGGCAAGCCATGCTGTGGTAGACGTCCCACATATAAAGTAGAGGAAGATGGGCATGGATGTGAGCTCAGGGCCAATCTTCCTAAAAAAAAATAATAATAGTAAAATTTTTTAAAAATGGTAAAAATTATTTTTTCTGAAAGAATATCCTCTTTAAGATAATAATCTTTGAAATATGGTTTCCACAAGGGAAAATTACCAAAAAACAAAGGGCTAGAAGGTATACACATTGGCACACAATTCTTTAAATCTCCATGGTAAATCCATGCACTAGATAATATCATCCTAATTTATATCCAGGGATAAATTCACTTGATCAACATCAGACAGGAAGTACATGGAAAAATTATAACTACAACGCATATTTTCTGATTCCAGGTCCAGCAGTCTTTCTACTCACTCATCTGTACAACCTGTGTCATTTCCCGACCTTTAATTTTTCTGACCTCCTAAGAATTTCTTCCTCTTTCCCAACTTTCCATATTGTTCTTAAAACCTAATGCTTTATATCAAATATCAAGAGTACATTAAACTTGAAGTCAAGTTTGTGCTCATAAATAAAATATTACACAATGAAAAATTTCCCCTCAAGCTTTAATGCTTAAAGACAAAATTCCAAACTTCCTTCCCTCAAAACCTATTAGAATGCTTACAGTATTCTAGCTAGGAGTCCTTCCCTTTCCTCACTTCTAAACAAACACTTTTACAGAACTAGGAACGAGGGGCAATAGATACAAAAATCAAGGCCAAATACTATTTAGCTAACACTGATAAAAAGAGTGAGCCCCTCTCCGCCTCCTTCTCGTCTACCCCCAGCCAAAACAGTCAAACTCAAACACTTCCCCACTCACACCCAAAGGGAAAATGAGAAAAGAAAATGCCCATGGAATTGTGTTTCTTGCTGTTACATATCGCACACCAGATGTCAACTCCATTTCCTCTAGTCTGAAGCACAAAGACACTTTCTGCAGTTGCACATGCCCAGAAATATTTCTCAAACTGTGTCTTTTGTTGGATGGCGTAATTGAGTCTCAACAAGCAAAAGGCTAGAGGCTGTGCGTGCCTGGTGCCACCCCTCTGTTGTCACCTCTCTCTTCAGGACTTGAAACTACTAAGGGTGAAACTACTAAATACCAAGGAAAGCTGATCCTTCTGGAAGTGAACTCCATATACTGCTGTCTCTCTGCTGAGCACGCAGTCATTCATGGCTCATTACAGAGATTTTTCCAACACTGCTGCTCTGGTAACTTGGGACGGTGAAGTGGCTAAGAGTGCACAGAACAGAACCTTCTGCTCCTGTCCAAGTCCTCCAACGCAAACTGTTAATCAGTGGCTGCTTTCCAACACAGGATGATCTTAAGCTCCCAAATTATAAATATTTGTAGTACTTTAATTCCATGAGCCTGATTTTCAGACACTCTAAAATATTAATTCGAATACAATGTGTAAGTTTGGGTGAGCTTTGTGTACTTGACAATAGAAATGAAAAAGTACAAAAATGTTACTTCTGATAAAATGCATAATTCAGGAATGCACAATACTTGATATTTTGGTGGCAAACTTATTTGTTGCTGGAGGTCCAAAACCCTTAGCTGTGCTAGCTCAGATGGTACAGGAGTATGCGGTCCCCGGATACAATCCAAAGAACAGAAAATGGGTTTCATTTCTCAGTTTTGAAACTCTTCCGCTTTGATTGGCTAAACCTATTTCTGGGTCAAAGGAACTATCTGCTTTCTAGGTGATCTGCAAGAGAATAAGAATGTGATAAAATGTCTGGAGCAGATGGACCAAGATTGCATCTTTATCCAATAAACCCTCTGATGTATGCACTGTCAGACACTTTAGGATAAGCTCTCCTACGCACTTAGACTCTTCAATTCCTGGGTCCAGTGAAGGGGCACAGGAACTCATAACTGTTATGAGTTATTCCCTTTATAGACAGAGGAACTGAAAGCCAGTAGATTAGAACATAAAGGATGAGCTCAGGTTTAAGCTAATACCTTGAAGTTGTTTGCTTTCAAAATGTCATTTTGGAAAACTACACTACAGTTGGCTTAAAACAAAATATACAACTAGTTCAAACAGGTAAGAACCTGATAAGGGTAAGGCCACATCTCTTCTTCAGTGGCCATAGTTTGATTTAGCACTGAACAGAATTATTGTTTACTGAGAACGAGGACACTTTAAAGCATTTTCATCAATGTGGGCAAAGATACCTACTCTAAAAATAAATCCCAGACATGCGTCAGTAGCTCTTGATGCTATGACTGGTGCTCATGATGGGTCGTATTTACTTCTTCTCTCTGGAGCAATGCTGTCCAATAGAACTTTCTGTCATGATGGAAACGTTCTATTCTGCTCTGTTCAATACAGCAGCTGCTAGCCACAGTGGCTATGGAGCACTTGAAACGTGACTAGTGAGACTGAGGAACTGAAAATTTTAGCTAATTTTAATTAACTAAAGCCTAAGTTTAAATTGCCACGCCTGACTAGGAGCTGCCATTTCGGACAGTGGAACTATAGAAGTTTTCGTGATATTTGCCACATAAGAGGTATTCAAAGGATGTCGGATGAGTCTGGAACGTGTGAAAATAAATGTAACAAAGGTGCCTTTAAATTTTGCCCTTTCAAATGATTTTTTTAAAGAATTTTACTATAAGTAGTTCATCAATAATTCAAGAAAACACATTTTAGTGGTGATTACTAACTTCTACCAGTTGTAATGACATAATTTTAAAATGTGGCATATCTAAAAGTGTTAAATTGCAAAACTGAGCACTTTGCTTGCTTTTAAATAGGTAAATGTAATTTATGTGCATGAACAGTAACACTGTTATTACATGAAGTGATATTTGACATTCTTTCTTCTTATATTTATACCATGTCACTATAAGTAAGGAGATCTGTCTAAAAGAATATTAAAATTGAGTCAACTAAGCTTTGGCAAGAAAATGTTTTCTGTTATGTATTAATCATTATAGTGCATGGCAATATCAGAGTCAGGCGGCACATCTGTTGGTAACCCTCTCACAGACTTCCCTCACGAGGTTACTCTGAGTCAAGAGACAAGACCATGTCTACCACGCAGCTGCTGTGGGAGGGACTTCAGCAACACTATCACCACTGTGTGCTTAGTTGCTCACTTTGTGCTTAGTTGCTTACTTTGACCTCCATTCTGATACCTCCAAAGAAAAGGGTAGATCAGAGAAGGCAGATTTAAGTTGCGGAAGCATAATTGCTCCCCCAAAGTTTATTAGTTAATGAATTCACCCATTCCAAACATTCATTGCGTGCCTCTTATGTACCAACCATCCTGCTCTGAGTTGGGATCTCATATGGTGATTCAGACATGGTGCCTGCCCTGGAGGAGCTAACAGTCTGGTGGGGAAGGAGAGAAGCATCCAGCAATTATGATACAGTATAATTAACATAAGAACTAGCACTGCCCGCCAGAGCTAGGTTAATCTTATTCATTTTACTCCCTTACTAAAAAGTTCAATGGGATACAAATGCTTACAGGACAAAGTCCAAAATCCCTAGCTTTGTGTTTAAGACCTACACCTTCTCCAAACTTATTTCTGAATATGTGACATGATGACATTAGATTTTCTTCTGTCTTGGTCAGGTGATAAAGATTTAGTGCCCCGCAAACACTGGGCTTTTCTGACACTGCTTTTGCTCATAAACTTTCACTGGCCTGAAATGTCATAGGGTTATCTCTGTCCACCATGAATTCTCCATCATGAGTTTAGATTCATTCATTCCATTCAAAATATTGATTGAATGCTGACATTCTGCGAGCCCTGGGGTCAGTAGGTAGATGTAGGTCTTGCCCTCAGGTAGCCAGGAATCTGGACTAGGGTGGGAGGGAGCTTGGGAGATATACAATAAGTAAACAATTTTTAAACATTAAGTTCCATGCAAGAAACAAACAGGGTGATAAGATAAAGACTATTGTCAGGGGGAGAGAGGTGCATACATAGCCATTTAGAATGGTTGGGATCAACAGAAGAATGGAGAGAGCTGAGAGCATCATGATACAGTGAGCTGTTCCCTTAGTCTTTCCCCTCCTAAGTTACAACCAAATGGACATTCATTAACCAACAGAGGATTCCCTTCAAAGCACAATAGGACAACTGAGATATCCACGCAGTCACACGTCTGAAGGTGGGGGTACTGGAGCCCTGGGAAGCAGTAGAAGGAGGTGAGTGGATCCCCTCTCTCCCCTCAATGGCAGTGATCTAGGTCGTGGGTCCTCATGCAGCATCTGGCACATGACTGTAAGAAGAGGCGGGCCAGCATGAATACTTTCGCTTTTGGAGGGGCAGCCTGGCCTGCTGGAATGCTCCACACTGAGTGGTGCAGCTCAGCTACTACATGGGTGCCACCACCAAGTGCAGCAGACCAGGAGAACTACCTGTGAGTGCACAGCGGGCCCATCAGCATGTGAAAGAAAGCGCCCATCCCACCCCATCTGGCCAAGGCAGCGGACGAGCACCAGAGCACCTGCACATGTGTGTGTGATGTGCCAAGTGGTTGCGGCCAGTGGGCAAAGGCAGATGAACCCTATCAGCACAACTTCCAGCACAAGCAGTAGGTTCAGAAAACACAGCTCCTGCCCCTGCCAGCGGGGGCAGGTGGAATATGTGACCTGATACCACCACCACGTGCTAGCAAAGGATCACTTCATCAAACACCAGTGTCCAATCTAGGCACACTGACTCATGATAAGAGACTAGAATGGCCTCTCTAAGTAGTGCAATGGCTATTGTGGCTGAAGCTTAGTCAGGGAGTTCTTACCGATTTCTCTGCTGGCATGAGCAGCATTTTTCATTTTGTTCTCTTTCTGCCAGTTTGAGCCAGGTTTCAAGCAGAGAAGTCTGATAGTTGCAACCTTGACCTGAGGGACCTGCAAGGCCAGTTCTAGCCTCCAGCACTTTAGCATCCTATTTAATCAGTGATCCTGGCTCCTTCTACATTCAGTCCTGTTTTTCTACGAATGAGGGTAGAAACTGACCGTTAGGATCAACTTCCACTGCAGGTTCAATTCACAGCTCATTTCTCTGGAACTCTGCACTCTACCTTCTATTACTACTCCAGTGCTTTTTCAGAAACTCAATTTCAGAACTTGGGAGAGATATTTGGGTGTAATTTTAGGATCCTATCATTGATAATCAAAAACACAGATTACAAACCAATGCTCTTGCTAACAGGTTTCTCTTTTCTCTCTCTTCATGAACTATCCAGAGGTCTATTACCATAAAAGGAGTAATAACCAAAATTGCACGGTGGGCCCTCTTTGGCACCTTCAACTACTCTATTTCTGCCTCACCAGGCACACAAAGGAAAGTGACAAAATAATAAAGCAATAGCTTTACTTACTTTATTCAGTTAAATCAGAGCAAAGACCTGATTAACTAATATTTTATTGACCTACCCGGTCATTCAATATTTCTAAGCAGCAAGGATTCCAGGCACATGGCACTGTTCTCAAGTGATACAGCTATAGTTTTTAACTAGTCAATGTTTTCCAGAATTTAAAAAGTGCCCTTTATCAGTGAAGTTGGAAACTTTGAAATGTATCAGTCTTTAATGTATGCTACCTACAAGTATCTATATACCTGTGATGTAACCGAATAATTTAAAACTTGTCCTAAGAATTATATGAATTTGAATAGCGTCTTCTACCAAAATATTCTTCACATTAATAATTCTTACATTTATCATGATTAGAATCAAGAAATGCACTTGAAAATGATCTGTTCTTTTTAAACATATCACACAATCGTATATTAAAGAATAGTGTCTTCTTAAATAACAGACTGAATTTCAAAGATAGTACTAATTTAAGAGATGAAGCACAGTCTTATTGAATAAATGAATGAAAGGGTAGCGACGCCAAGCCTTACACAGAATCAAACATTCTACTTCATTTCTTAGTTTAGGATGCACATGTTCTCCACAATGTGTCTTCTAAGTGCTGGTTTGAATTTGGCCTAAATCATAAAGATAAGTAACCTACAACCCTATGTTGCTGGGAAGTAGACTATCTACATATCGATTATATTGATCAGTTTAATTTCGATCAGAGTAGAAAGCTGGAATTCCTACTCACGTTTTATGGGAAAAGGAAAGGACTATAGCACATGACAAAACTAGGACACACACTAAGTGAGAACGCAGATCCTTTCAGGCAAGAGGGAAGGCTGCACATGCACTCTAACCAGGAGCAACCATGGAGAGGCTGGAGGGAGCGTTCTCTAGCAGCGTTAGGTGACCCTGAAACAACAACATGCATAGATGCTTTGCTTAGCTCCTGGTCTGGTTTGTACCTTTAAAAAGTAAAGTAAAAGAATACATCCTGGGCCTTTCGTCAGTCACCCAAGGAGTCTGGTTTCAGGATAATGTCACCAAGTCTTCTAGGATAATTTTTTTTAAAAATTCTTAAATTTAATGTTCTTAAGTAAAGAGTTTGTTAAATGGAGGTGGAAAAAAGAGGCAGTAAACAATTTACTTTTGACACTTTCCGAAAGAAAGAAATACCAGCTTTGATAAGGTACTCAACGGCAACAGGATTTGTCATACTTTATTCTGCCTGAATTGATGAACTGTACAAAAGAAGGCCAGGAGTCCCACAATGGTTGAAAGACGTTATTCTGTTAAATACATTCTTCTTTGTTCATGTTAATGTGAGGTTTTCGAAATTTTAAGTAATAAAACCTTTAAAACACACTGAAAAGTGGGAAATAAAACAATCACCTATGTACCTACTAATATCAAATGTTAACATTTGTGTTTTGCTTCAGACACTTTTTTCAAAGAAATAAAATATTATTGATATAAATCCTTGGCACATTTCTGCAGGCATCTCAAGGTTATTATGTATAATTCCCAGACAGGTTTTTGTACTTTTATTACATATATCTGGGATGCTTAAAATTTACTTAAATGCTACCTTTCTTTTCAACTTGAGGTTTCATTCAACATTAGCCAAGTTGAAACATACAGATCTAGTTTAGATCTACAGATAGACCATACAGATCACTTTAACTGGTGTACAGAATTCCATTAAATAAACAAACCACAGATTACTTATTCCTCCCCTTACTGGAGGACGGATAAGGTGAGTCTACTCCTTCTCTATCACAAGTGGTGTACGATGAGCCTCCCTGTATGTCCCCTCGGCCAGTTTCCTTTGGGTGAACAGAAAAGTAGGACTGTTGGCTTATCCAGTCTGCACATCTTTAAGTGTACCAGATAAGGTCAAATTGCTCTCCAAAAGGAAAACAATGTTCAGATGTTTCTTTTTCCCCCAAAGAGATTCTCTTTCAAGAATATAAAACTAATGCCAGTTCCGAAGGATAGATCTTGAATTACTGGTACTGGTTCCAGTAAAATGTAAATAACCTAAGGCTAATGTGGGGCCATTTTATGAACTGCATCATTTATCTGACATAACCTTTGCAATCAAAATTTATTATGTATAGAGCCGTTTCTTTCTTTGGCTATAGCAACTCTGTTTCATAAGTGTTTATGTTAAGAATATCTCCCAATAACTAGTCGTCACATCACATCATTAAGTGTGTTTGTATCAAAGTAAAATAAAATAAAAAATTCAAACTCATCAAGTAGAGAATTAGGTAAATTAATAAACTGATGGATAATATATCCCTAAAATAATCATTAAGATTTTTGATTACAACAAAATGGCAATCATTTACATAGAAGGACTTTCCTACTTAAAAATAACTAATCCAGCATAAGATAATATTTTTACTGGACAGGATGTGGTGTGTCTCCAGTGGCACCTCACACCGTGTCCCTTGTCTAAAACGAAGTGTAAGGTGAACTGACAGCTCTGTAATCTAAAGAGTAACATATATCAGCTCTGCAATCTAAAAACTAACCCTTGGGCCAGGGGCACCACAGGGAAGCTAAACCTGATGCTCCTAGGTAAATACCAGACACTTGGAAGTGTCTTAAAGCATCCATAATCAGTGCTGTCTCCTGGATCCCAGCAGACATGAACACAAATCTTCTATGAAAAAAGTCATCCCTAAATTCGGTCCCCTGTTTTTTCTTTCTTTTCTGAGGAAGATTCACCCTGAGCTAACATCTATTGCCAATCTTCCTCTTTTTGCTTGAGGAAGATTCGCCCTGAGCTAACACTTGTGCCAATCTTCCCCTAGTTTGTATGTGGGTTGCTGCCACAGGATGGCTGCTGACAAGTGGTGGAGGTTCGTACCCAGGAACTGAACTTGGGCCACCAAAGTGAAGTGCACCAAACTTAATCACTAAGCCACAGGGCAGTCCCAGACCCCTTGTTTTCAAAGACAAAGATGAACCAAATATGAGCTCTTTAGCAGAGATGACCAAAAACCTAGACACAAGCCACCATAAGTGGGAGTCAGCAGAAATATGAAACACTAGATTTAGATTCCAAAAATTATCATATGTAGTACACAAAACTTTAAGTCACACTTTCAAATTTAAAAACGTAATTACAAAAATGAGCATGTCACTATGAAAAATGACCAAGCCAATTTCAAAAACAACTAAATATAACTTTTAGAAATAAAAAAATTGAAATATAACAAAAACTCAATGGATGGATAAGACAGCAAGATTGGACACAACTTAGAAGAGAATTAATGAACTAGAAGATAGATCAGAGGAAATTATCTAGAAGACAGCACAGAGAACTAGAAATAGGAAAGCAATAGAAAATAAGAGAGAGACATGGAGGACAGAATTTGAAGACCTAACTTATTTCTAACTGGTATTCTAGGAAGAGAACAGAGAGAACAGATGGGAGGCACTACCTGAAGAAATGTCTGAGAAATTTCCAGAATTGACAAAAGACATAAATTAAAAGATACAGAAAATAAGGGCAGGCCTGGTGGCATAGCAGTTAAGTTCATGTGTTCTGATTTGGTGGCCCAGGGTTCACCGGTTCAGATCCCAGGTGCGGACTTACTCACTACTTATCAAGCCATGCTGTGGCAGGCATCCCACATATAAAGTAGAGGAAGATCGGCACAGATGTTAGCTCAGGGCCAGTCTTCCTCAGCAAAAAGAGGAGAATCAGTGGCAGATGTTAGCTCAGGGCTAATCTTCCTCAAAAATAAATAAATAAATGATACAGAAAATATAACATATATCAAAAAGAGGATAAATGAAATTAAGTCCATACTTACACATAATGTAGTTAAATACAGACACCAAAATCAAAGAGAAGATCTTAAAAGCATCTAGAAAGGAAAGATATTATCACTTACAAAGTAACAGCAATTAGATGGACAGAAGGTTTCTCAACAGCAACCATGGAAGGCAGAAAACAAGAGAACAATGTATCATTAGTGCTGAGAGAATACATATGAACTTAGAATTGTATATCTAGCAAAACTATCCTTCAATAAATAAAGGTGAAATAAAGATGATTTCAAAGAATCAAAACTGAGTGAGTTTACTACCAATAACCTACAATAAAGAATAAATTTCAGGAAGAAAAAAAATTATATTTGAAGGAAGGTCTAAGATGCTATGAGAAATGAAGAACAAAAAAATATCTAAGCTTATGTTTGTAAAATAACAACAGTGTCTAAATTTGAGAGGGTTTATAAAACAATACAGAACTAAACTACTGACAAGAACAGGGAGGGTGATGTGCAGAGTTAGGAAGGTCTAAGATCCTTACATCATAGGAAGGACGTGTGTGAGATGGAGGTTTGGTTAAATATGCATGGCAAATTTTCTGGAATGACCACTATAAAAATTGCAATAGAGTGATAATTTTTGCAATAGTAAAGAATAAAATAACTTTTAAAAACCTAATACAATCACAGAAAAAACCAGTGTAATACTAAAAAAACCAGAAGTGTAATACTAGCATATTTGAATTTATTTTGATAGGAACAAGTCCAAATACATTATTAATGACAATAAATATAAATAGAACCTTGTCAATTAAAAGATCTAGAGAATTACACTCAATGTAAAATCAATATCCTGCTATATTCTGTTTATAGAGAATAAAACTAAGCCACATGTAAACAGAAAGTTTAAAGTAAAAGAATATAAAACAGATAATTGGCAAATATTAATCAAAAGAAACACAGGGTAGCTGAATTAAGGGACACAGAGAATCATGTTTCACTCCAACAAGAAGATTTAACAATTGTAAATTTTTATCCACCCAATAAGATAGCTTTAGAATATACGAAGAATTGATTATCTTAATACCAAAACCAAATAAGCATAATGTGTGCAAGCAACACTTTTCATTCTTGAACATAGATGAATAAATTCTAAATAAATATTCAAATTCAGCCACATATGTATGAAACTGATAACACTACATAACCAAGTTAGATTAAGCAGGATGGTTTAACATTAAAAAGTCTATAAACGTGGGCTGGCCCCGTGGCCAAGTGGTTAAGGTCACATGCTCCGATTCAGCGGCCCAGGGTTTCACTGGTTCAGATCTTGAGACAGACATGGCACCACTCATCAGGCTACGCTGAGGCAGCGTTCCACATAGCACAGCGAGAAGGACCTATAACTAAGATATACAACTATGTACTGGGGGGCTTTGGGGAGAAGAAGGAAAAAAAAGAAAAGAAGATTGACAACAGACGTTAGCTCAGGTGCCAATCTTTAAAAAAGAAAAAAGTCTATAATTGTAATTCATCACATTAAAAATTAAAGAAGAAAAAACATATGACCACTTCAACAGATGCAGAAAGAGCATTTGTTAAAATGTCTATTCATTACAAGAAAAACTTCTGGCGAATTAAGAATAGAATGAAATTTCACAAAACTGATGAGCAAACATTGTTCCTAATGGTAACAGTGAGGAACAATATAAGGACGCGAACTAGCACTGCCTCTATTGAACATTTTCCTTGAAGTTCTAGCCAATACGGTAGGAAATAAAAGGTATAAGAATCAAAAAGGAAGAAACAAAACTCTAATTATACACAGACAATGTGAATGTGTTAGTGCACACGCAAGATCTACAAATTATAAGAAACAGCAAGTGTTTACCAAGGTGTTTAAACATGAGATTAATATAAAACCATCTGTACTTCTACATACCAACAACAAACTGAAACACTAATTTTAAAAAATATGCTTTACAGCAGAACCAAAATACATAAGATACTCAGGAATAAATCTTACAAGACAGCAATAATACATAAAAATACATCAAAACCCAAAAATTTATTGAAAGGCATTAGTGAGGATCAAAATAACTGTTCATGAATAAGGAGATTCTGTGTTATCAAGGTATCAGTTCTCTCCAAGGTAATCTGTGGAATCAGTGCAATTTCAATCAAAATCTAATTAAAAGTTCTGAGAAATCTGATGAGTTCATTCTAAAAGAAAGAAAGAACAAAGGCCTCCAAATAGTCCTAACACTCCTGGAGAATGGAATGTTATGCAGTGTGGAGAAACTTGTCCTATCAGACAGCAAGAGTTATTTCAAAGCTACAGTAACTAAACAGTGTGGTACTGCTGAAAGAACAGACATGGAGCAGGAAAAAACCTAACATATGACAGAGGTGGCATTCTGATTCTGACTCCTGGGGGAGAAAATGGTGCTGGGAAAATTGTGTATCCATCTTGGAAAAAAAGAAAGTGGATTCCTACTCTGTGTCTCACACGAAAATCAATTCCTTCTGAATTAAAAGCTTAAACATGAAAAACCAAATTAAAAAAATGTACCACAATATGGGGGGGATTATCTTTCTGATCTTAGGGTAGGGAAATATTTCTTAAATAAGAAACAAAAAGTGCCAAGTATCAACGAAAAGCTTGATAATTTATTTACATTAAAATCAAGAGCTTATGTTTATTAAGTTGTACCATAAAGAAAGTGAAAAGCTAAGACATAAGCTTATTCTTGGAAAGAAAAGAAAAACAAATAGAATAAGCACAAAAGATATAAATAGGCAGAAGATATTGGCAACCATTTAACAAAGGAAAGATATCTAGAATACATACAGAACATCCACAAATCACACAAAAAAAGAGGACAACTCAAAAGAAAAATAGGTGAAAGCTAGAAACAGGCATTTCACAGAAGAGGAAAAAACAGACCACAAACATAGGAAAATATGTTCAAGGTTAGTATTAATCTGGGAAATGCAAATGAACTAAAGTCATAGTGAGGTTCCATTTTATAACAATCAGATCAGCAAAAAATTAAGAAGTCTGCTCATACTAATTGCCGGCAAGATGTAGGTCAACATCAATGAGAGTGTGAACTGGTGTAGCTGCAGTGGAAGACAACTTAGCATCATCTTGTGAGGTAGATATTTGAATACCCAACAACTCAGCAGTTACATGCTTAGGTATATGCCCTAGAACAGTGCTTTTAAACTTCTCTGATGATAAGAATAATCTGGAACGCTTTTTAAATATCAAGCTTCCTAGGCGTTTTCCCCAGAGAGTCTGATTTGCTGGTCCTGAAATGAAGCCACAGTACTTGCATCTTATGAAGCAGCCCAAGTGATTCTCCCTCCAGAGCAGCTCGGGAAGCAGCCTAACGCCGCGCTGCTCAAAGCCTAGTTCTCCCCCCAGCAGGAGTGGCTGCACCGGGAAGCTCATTAGAAATGCAGGTGCTCAGGGCCCCCTCTGACCTCCTGAGGTGGAACCTTCCTTCGCACATTCAAGTTTGAGAAACTTCAGACAGAGAGGAGTGTTTTTCAGAGTGCAGGCTCAGTCTCTGGGTCTTACACTCAGACTAGCATTTGTTGTAGAGAATAGAAACTAAAACATTAGAATGCATTTTAGGTTGAAAGGTGAGGACTGTAGTGTGCAATTTTTGTTTTAGGTACACACACTCTCCTGCAAATTTACAGGTGCGTGTACACTGTGTCACAATGTGCAATATATTTCATACTGTAGCCAAAGAGAGATAAACACATTCCTAGAGATGTTATTTCCCGGGGGCACTAGGAGCTATGTACAGAAATGTTCTTAGCAGAATTGTTAATAAGAAAGAAAAGCATGGACACACCCCAAATATCTACTGACCAGAAAACAGATATTCATACAATGGAAAATTAAACTATTGTATAGTGAAAATGAATAAACCAATTATCAACCTTAGAAACACAGAATTGACTGAAAAACTTATGTCACCGAAGAGTACTATGACACAATTTTATAAAAATGAAAAATAAGCAAAAGGTAATTAAGAACATAAATATGTGATAAAACTATTTTAACAAAGAAAAGAGCAAAGGAAAAATTTACATAAAAATTCAGGATACTACTTAGCTCGGCCCTGAAGGCAGACAGATAAAATGGGAAGCACGCAGTTAGATGCAGAAGTTCTAAGGATGTTCTATTTATAAGCTGAGGAGCCAATTATTGTTATGCTGCACAATTTACGTAGGTTACATTTATTCTTTTGTTTATACGAATATGACATAATAAATTAAAAAAAAAAAAAGATTACAGGGAAGGTATGAATATCCCAGAAACACTGTTGGCTCTTTGAAATTTCCTTCCTGGAGAAGAGCCTGTCTTCGGTTCTTATGAAAGACTATGGTTTCTACCAGCCTGACTTAAGGGAAGCAAGGTAACATGTCATTAAAGATTTAACTGTCCTGGATACACACCCATGGACGGGGACCTCTGACGTGAAAAGCATTACAAAGCCCTCTCCTCTCAAGGTGTAAAAGACTTCACACCAGTAATGTTCTCTTCCCTGAAACCCGACGTCTGGATCCTGAAAGCTGAGTCTCAGGCCTGGTGCTCAGCCCGGCTCTGACACTTTGGGTACAGTTACTGCTTCCCCCTTCCCCTGCCCAAACCTCTGAACCTCATTCTCTTCCATTCTTGGATACTTAGTGAGATCCAAAACAGAACTCAGGACTGTCACATCAGGAGGCAGCACAAGGAAGGTAACTGTCCAAGGTCATGGCTAGCCCATATGGTACCTTTGTGTACATCAGGAAGAGGGCCCCTTCCTGAAGGCACTTACTGTCATCTGCTGAAAAACTGCCACAATAAATGTACAAATCTATGAGGCTTACGCTATGAATGGGCACTGTATGTTTACGCAATGCATGGCCTGCACAACTGGATGCTGTGGACCTGTTTGAATCAGTGTGTGTGTGTACATACACGTGTATGTTTGTGTGCTGTTCAAAATGTGCAAGTTACATGATCAAAAACATATTCTTTCCACCTGATACATATATATATATATGCTGCACACACTAAAAGTTCTTGGAGAAGACACTGTTAATGAACAATTTAAAAACTTATCATAAACCAGGTCTGCAGAAGAGGACATGCTATGAGGTGTGCATGCAGACAGACGTATGTATGTGGATTTTTTTCAGTAAACTAATACCATTTACTCACTTTGTTTCATTATTTCATATTATTTCCTTGTTAAATATTTAAATACATAATTACAATTAAAAAGTATTATTAAATTTTTCACTTTTAATCATTAGTCCAATAAGCTGAAACAACGGGGGGAAAAGAAAATACATTAATTTCAGAAGAGCCTCAACTATTTTACAAAGTCAGTGCTCACAAATTTCATAGTCATAACATGTACACATTAAGAGGGGGCATTCAAATTTGAAAGTTTATAAAGAACTCATACAACACAGAAAGAAAAGCAGTAAGAGTTTAAAGATGAATTGCTAAAGGACATGAACAGACAAGCTGACAAATCATACAGCAGGAAATGCAAATAAATTAGGGAAAATACTCAAACTTAAAACAATGAGTTATAGTATCCATACATGATCATTTTAAGGAAATACATAGGAAAAATGATTGGATGAAAAAACAAAAAATGCTAACAACGGCTAAATTAAAGTAGGTTACATACAATTGTCCCTTCTGTTTTCTAAATTCTCTTTGATAATGTTATACTACTTTTACAATTTAAAAAAATTATGAAAACTACATAAATAATAGTTAACTGGGGTCTCCCATTCTGAAATTCCTCATCTAGAAACACTTTTAGCCTGTCCTAAAATCTACACAAATGCACAGGATCTGAGAAATATATTAAAAAAATACTACATATAGTCATACAGTCATATATGAGGCTCAATACACACAAAATAATTGAATGTTCCTCATAAGTTACAAAAAATACAGATCTGATCCTATATTTTATGTTGGTTTGGTAATGAGAGAAAATGGGCTCAGGATAAGGAAAAACAGAGGCAGAGATATATAGCTGAAATGCTGCAGTTAAATATTATTGGTCACTGGCTTGGAGATCTTGATTATACAGAATTACGACAAGCAGTACTGTTTGTCTTAAAAAAAAAAAAACCCTAACAAAAAAGCATACATGCCCAGAGCCCAAGTTCTGCACATAAAAGCCGACTTTACATATAAACTGCAAAGTGTCCTAGTGGTTAATTATTTAGTACTAAGTATCAATCATGGACACACTCCAAATTAAACAAAATAGGTTTTCATTCACTTTAAATCAAATATATTCAAGAAAGAGTTTAAAAAAACAATAATTTAAAATGAAAAGCAAAAGAAAACAAACCTTGTATTATATTGCTCACCTACTCAGTAGAAGAGAGTATTACAAAATTAGTATTCTAGTTTACAAATAAACTTTCTTTCATCTGGATTAAATATACCATACAAGTCCAAGTTAAATGAAATTTACATATACAACAGTAAATCTCAAATAGAGGTGTGAAGCTTTTCTAATACAATTTACAAACCTGTGCAAAAATCTTACCCCTCTGTGAGGGTCAAATTTGCGTATATTCTCTCCACCACTGCTTAGCATATACAAGAACGCCATTTCTCTGCAGTTTTCTGACATTCCAAAGCAAGCGTGAAATTAAAATTTTTTTCAATTTCTACTCATTTTCCTTAATTCATTACTATAAAATATGTAACAAATCTATGCACTTCTTTCTGTCTCTACCACCACCCTACTCTAAGCTGCCATCAGCTCGTCTGTAAGAACCTCCTGACTCCCTTGTTCCTATACTTTCCCCAGTACAATCCAGTCTCTGCACAATAGTCAGTGATCTTTTTTCTCCCAAGACAGACATTTTTAAATAATAAAAGATACTGTTATTCTCTTGCTTAAAACTAATTCTAATTTTCTAAAATGAGAGTACTTTCTAGGATCAACAGGTAAATATACTATGAAAACAAATATACAAAGAAGAAAAATTCAGCATTATTTACCTGTGTTTAGTACTTTTTATAGGCAACGTTTGATTGAGGAGAGGTTCATCTCAAGTTTCAGATTTAAAATTGCCATAGAAATTTTTGATTCTGTGCCTAAAATATAAATAAATATTTATAACTTTAGAGGTTTGAATATTATGTATCATTAGTCAACCAAAGTCTAACCAAATTAATTTTAAGAATTCTGTGCTTTTACCACTTACATGGAATGAAGATAATATTCAACATTACCTTTAATATTCATGTTAAAAATGAACCAAATCAAATTCATTTTTATTTTGTACAAAGACCTTTATCTAATTATAAGGAGATTATTTATTTTGTAACTTCCTAATCGCATTTGAACGGATTTTTTGGACCTAAAGGATTTGGGATTCTTCATTTTTCTCTTCATTAAATGTATCATACCAACCAGACTTACAGTAAAAACAAAGTCAAAGCAACTGTTAACACCTCATTCTCAGAAAATACTTACACTCTTTGTCTCATATAGTCATTCCCATTTATCCCTTCCATTTTCACAGCACATGGAGGACAAATTTTCAAGCCATGCCTGGATTTAAAGAATTGGAAAACAAATATACTTCACATCACAACTATTTAATATTTCTTTGCTGAACGAGAATATACTTGTTTCTGGGTCATTACTATGATTATCACGTTAGGTCTACATTTGAAGACAAATAATGGGTATCTCGTTTGAAAACAAATCTCCTACATAAAACCTTTTTCTCTACTTCTTATTTAAGGAAAAACTCATTCATGGTCTGACTTATCAAAATCTAAATTACTAAAGCTATACTGTCCAATGGCCAGATTTAATTCTGTGACTACATTTCAATACCAAAGTCATTCCATTATGTTATGCATAAGACACTTGTAGGTTTTCATTGTATCATCACATATGTATTACCTATCAAGTAGTAGGCAAGAGGCCAAGGAGACAATGGTGCATAAGATAGGCACCATCTCTGTCTCAAAGAGTACTATTCATTGAGACGGACACTGAGCAAGTCAGGTCCTCTGAGTTCCACTTGCCCACACGTAAAAGGTTAGAATACCTACTCCATATCCCACAAGAACTGCCGCTGTAGGAAGCTACTGGTACTATCAGGGATGTACTGTATTCTGGGGTGGAACAAAGTGAAGGTGTTTTTTGCATGTGCGTGTATGCATATGTGTGTGAAGAATCTTAATTTTCTTTATAGCCTTATATATAATCAAATAAACTTGAACGCAAAAAGCCCTCAAAATTTCAATATTAATTTCCCATATAAAAATTTTTCCTTAAAACAAGGCCAGATTGACTGTCAAGTTCTACACTCATACTATTCGTCAAGACATTTCCCAAGACTATGACACTGGGGGCCAATTGTAATGCTATTGAAATTCTTTTTACATGTTTCCCTCTTGGTTTATAAAGGCATTTAAAAAACATAAAATGTATTTACAAACAAACTGTGGCTATAAAAAGGTAACAGTGATATTAATCATCATATCTACACCCATAAGTTCCACGGTAAGATTGGTCACTCCATTTTCTGAGCCTAAAACGGACCGCCATTCGAGAAAATAGGACGCTACTAAAGTGGTCTCACCAAATATGTCTGTTTTGATTAGCACCATATGAACTGGATCACTTATTGATAACATTGTCGTTGAGTCAGCCATTCTAGTTCCATCACCTAGAAATATAAACCAAAACAATCACACCACATTACATATTCTGTTGGGCCAACATAAAAGAAGACTTTTATTGAAAAGGATACTAGTAATAAACTTACATAAAACCAAACAGAATAATTTGGTAATGCCTCAGAAAGTGTGCGACAGACTGAGAATAAAAGTACGCTCCTACTTCTATCACTAACTTTTGAGAGGACTGGCAGAATTGTGACAACTTATCTAGTTACTTAATGTGTATCAGTGTTTTGTAAGAGAGAAATCTGTCCTGTAAAAATACTTAACTAAAGTATATGCTACTACAATAAAAAGCCTTCAACTATGTCAACACTAATCCCCAAACTACTTTTATCCCTAAACCTCCAGAAGTAATCACTATATTATCCACACAAAACTGAAAGACCCGGCGCCTGGGAGGTAACAATTTAAGCTATGAACTGCCTTATTAGGGCAAAATTTTTTACTGGGGGGAAAAATAATAGATTTTGGTAGTGCATTAGCCATCATAGTAATCTAAAATTCTGTAGGCATAATTCTACAACTTTCCTAAGTTTACAAATATATTGTAAAGATTTCTATGTTGAAAACTAAAATGTATAAAATATCTTTATAGAAAGAGTGTAAAACAATTACAGGAATCAAGTATCATAATCTTTTTTTTTTTTAAGATTTTATTTTTTCCTTTTTCTCCCCAAAGCCCCCCGGTACATAGTTGTATATTCTTCGTTGTGGATCCTTCTAGTTGTGGCATGTGGGACGCTGCCTCAGTGTGGTTTGATGAGCGGTGCCACGTCCACACCCAGGATTCGAACCAACGAAACACTGGGCCGCCTGCAGCAGAGCACGCGAACTTAACCACTCGGCCACGGGGCCAGCCCCAAGTATCATAATTTTAAAGTTATAAAAATGAGAGTTACAGATCTAAGCTTTGATTTTTAAAAGTTACAGAACATCATAAATCTAGCCATCTTTCATAAATGAGAAGGATCATGTCTCATTCTCCACTATATCCTCAGCACTTGCCTAGCATAGTACCATGCACCTAACAGGCATTCGAATGTTTATTACTAAAGAATCAACCACTAAAACAGTCCAAAAATAATCTTCAAGGAAAAGTAATTAGCAGAAAATAAAGCAAAAAAATGAATAGAAGGTGCTGGTCTGGTGGCATAGTGGTTAAGTTTGAGCGCTCTACTTCAGTGGCCTGGAATTCACTGGTTCGGATCCCTAGTACAGACCCAGTGCCGCCTCATCAAGCCACGCTGTAGTGGCATCCCACATAAAATAGAGGAAGATTAATGCAGATGTTAGTTTAGCAACAATCTTTCTGAAGCAAAAAGAAGAAGACTGGCAACAGGTGTTAGCTCAGGGTCAACCTTCCTCACAATAAAAAAAGTGGGTAGAAGTAGTTTATAGAGAAAACAGCAGTGGGGAAAAAACATAAAACAGAAAACTACAGAGATTCATCCATTATAAATCTCTCCTTACAGTAAAAGTTGTTATAGGTGTTCTGCAATAAAACAAAGATTTACTCAATTAAATGACAATTTATTATTGCTCCATATCTAAGCTCTCTCTGCGGACTTCAAGTAAAGGCCTATGACGAAAATCTGGCCCACAGGCAAATGGAACAGGTTTAGAAGAAAATGTTTGTTTAGAAAACGTAAACATAAAGTAAAGGTTGAACAAACTTCTCCTGGTAAAGTCTCAGGTTCTTGCAGATGGTTCAAGAAAGCTTTTCCACCCCAAACCTGAAGATAAATATTGGATCAATATTGGATCAATATTAGCTGTAAATGATAGCAATACATATGAGGAAAGTGCCAAATAACTTAAGGAATGTGATCAAGACAACGGGAAATAATAACTTCACAGAAATAAAACCAAGACTAAAAAAAGAAAGAGAGTAACAAATTCACTGTATACCAGGACAATTTGTACCTGGGGAAGGACAGATACACAATATGATCTCTTTTCCTGAGTTTCCCTTCTGGCCTTTCTCCAGCTGGAAAGGAGGCAGAGCCAAGGGGTAGGCTACCACGGCTCTTCAGTTGCTTATCCAACATTCCTTCACTTCCACAAACCAACTCACACAATGATCAACTCAGCAAGCGTACTCTTTAGATAATTACATTCCCATTAAAAAAGTAAAGCCATACAATTTTTATAAAGTATATTAGAACGTGAGAAACAGGTGGTCCTGTTTTTGCTTCCACTCCGCTATACATTAAATCCTCAGACATACTTCATGCAAAGCAGAATCTAAGTTTTTCTGGATAATTAGTCACAAAAATGTAAGTATTTCATTCTGGGGAAAAAAATGAAATGTTGGGGCTGGCCAGGTGGTGCAGTGGTTAAGTTCGCACATTCCGCTTTGGTGGCCCGGGGTTTGCCGGTTCAGATCCCAGGTGTGGACATGGCACCGCTTGGCAAGCCATGCTGTGGTGGGCACCCCCCATATAAAGTAGAGGAAGAAGGGCACGGATGTTAGTTAGCTCAGGGCCAGTCTTCCTCAGCAAAAAGAGGAGGACTGGCCGCAGATGTTAGCTCAGGACTAATCTTCCTCACAAAACAAAAAAAAAACAAAAAATGAAATGTTTTCTACCAAATACTACAGCACATCTATTCACAGTATTATCCACAACTAAATTAATGTTAAGAAGTACACATACTGGGGCTGGCCCTGTGGCAGAGTGGTTAAGTTCACATGCTCTGCTTTGGCAGCCCAGGGTTTCGCCGGTTCAAATCCTAGGCGCGGACATGGCACTGCTCATCAGGCCACATTGAAGCGGCGTCCCACATGCCACAACTAGAAGGACCCACAACTACAATTTACAACTATGCACTTGGGGGCTTTGGGGAGAGAAAAGAAAAATAAAATCTGAAAAAAAAAAAGAAAAAAGAAATACACACAGCTTTTTTTAACAACGTTGATTGTCTATCAGTAAAATAAACAGGTTATTTTGGAGAGGAAGGGAGTTCTTGATCAACATTGTCCTAGAAAGGCAGGAAAACATCAAAACAAATTAGAAAACAAAACTTATAGTTAAACAAGGAAATGCCAATAACGGGACTAAGAAATGAACCCAAAGTAGAAGACAAGATAAATTCCCTCAAAAACCCTTTATTTTCGGGGCTGGCCCCGTGGCCGAGTGGTTAAGTTCGCATGCTCCGCTGCAGGCGGCCCCATGTTTCGTTGGTTCAAATCCTGGGCGCGGACATGGCACTGCTCATCAAACCACGCTGAGGCAGCGTCCCACATGCCACAACTAGAAGAACCCATAACGAACAATATACAACTATGTACTGGGGGGCTTTGGGGAGAAAAAGAAAAAAACAAAAAAGATTTACATCAAAAAAAAAAAAAAAACCCTTTATTTTCCCAGTATAATTAAAATAATGAAAAGCCTGCAAAAATATGCAGCTGGTCATTCCTGAAGTCTAATACTAAGGAATTAAGTTGACCCCAACAGTGTCCACAGAATGCTAAAAACAAATCCTTAATAGCTTAAATGAGGTTAAATTTTCTCTAACCTCATACAATATTTGGCTTAAGATTCCACCATGAATTGATTTTAATAAAGAAGTGACATTCATGTAGCAGAAGCTGCTACATGAATTTATTAGGTCAATTTTTCTAACAAATGAGTTTATAAACCTCAAAAATCAAGAAAGGATGCTATGTCAAAGACTTGTTCCCTGGGGCTGGCCCCGTGGCTGAGTGGTTAAGTTCGCGTGCTCCGCTGCAAGGGGCCCAGTGTTTCATTCGTTTGTATCCTGGGCGCCACAACTAGAAGGACCCACAACGAAGAATATACAACTATGTACCGGGGGGCTTTGGGGAAAAAAAGGAAAAAATGAACTCTTTAAAAAAAAAAAGGACTTGTTCCCTGGTGTATTATGAAGTCCATCCAATTTTTACATTATATTACCCAGATACAGAAGTTACAGTTTCTCATTATTGCCTCATTTTCAAAAGAAGGCCTACTTACTAATTTGTGCACTGAGAGGCTACCACCACACTAGTGACCTATTTGTATAAAAAGATTTGAAGGTTCTTACGCAAACAATTATTTTCTTGGGGAAGCCGATAATTTGTTAATCACAGAGATTACAGAAAAAGTGCTTATTTTAAAAATTAAGCCCAATCTAAAAGTTTACAAAACAATATTAATGAAAAAGAGCTAGGTTATGATGAACTAACTGGACTAAAATATATATACTTAAAGTTACAAACAGAGAATAACGAGAAAATTCTGTCACTGTAGAGAGAGGAATATGGTATATAACTCCAATTTCATCGATACATAATCCTACTTGCTACATTCAAGGGTAGAATTAGCTTACACTTGAACCAAGGATATTACTAGACAAAATGGTCTTACTCTAAAGTGGTTTTACTAAAAGGAGGGGCCCCAAATGTGGATCCTATACGCAGCATTAAGCATGAGAATATATTTATACCCTCAATTTCTTTCCCCTAAAAGATCACTCACAGTAACAAAATTAAGTCTTTTCATCACATCATCAATGATTCCCCGACGTCTAAGGGCTTTAATCAAATCTTCTGTGGATAACTGCTGCTGATCAGGTGCCAACTCTTCACGTATTGTCTCAGCAAGGATTTCTCTTATTCTGCCATGGACATCCATCTGTGAAGAAAACTCGTATTACAACTTACAGCATTACAACGTGGTCAAATATTGCCCATTAGCTAATTTTTTTCTAAAATACTGACTCAAAGGAAAAAATGAGATAGTAGACAGACTAAATTCGGGAAGGCTTCTTAAGCTAATAATAAGTGTAAAATTGTTACCAGAATTCAATGGGAACAAAGATAAGAGTTTCTTTTTAAAAAAGAAAATTTTCTAGTCCAAATTCTAGAAATAAACTCTACTGGTTATTTACTACCCTTTTTACCCTTTCTCCACAAATAACACTCAACCAAAACAAATCTTTAGAGAGTACAGAATAATCAAAAGAACACAGATCTGGAGGAGGCGATCAGCATGAACTTCAGGCTTCAAGTTATTAGACGTGACCTCGAGTTAACTCATTTACCCTCGATGAATCTGGAAATAAGCGCACTGTCAAGATCGGGAGGCTTAGATAGACGGCAAGGTGCACAATAAACGGCAGCTTGCATCCGTTCGGCTTACCGCCTTCGCCGAGCACCCCAAGACACAACGTTCTTCTTGAGCCCCGAAGGATCACAGATACTTTCATTACAAATCCTTCAGTAATTTCTCTTTCGTGACTGGAGGACTGCAGAGCTGGCTCGACTTCAACGACACCGCAAGGTTCACCCTTAAAGTAGTTCTAATCCCTGACATCTGACTATAAACCCGCTGCAAACACGACTTGGACTCGATCTGACTTCCAGAAACCGCTCGATAAACGCTTCCGTTTCACGCTGTCCTAGGACACCAACACCGCTCTACCGCCTCATCGTCTAACTGGCACTTTCTGGGCTTGCTCCTCCATCGAGGCTCGAAAGTCCTCTGGCTTCAAACCCGAGGCTCCGCGCATCCCGCGCTCGGCGTCTCACAGCCTTGGCCCGAGTGCCCGGCAAACCGGGGCCGTCGGCGGCCAGGCCGAGGGACGCCAGGCCGGCGCTCGGGGCCCCCTGCGGGCAGGAGCGCGCCCGCGGCCCTCACCTTGCTCAGCTGCTGGTGGATGAGCTGCTTCAGCTCGGAGGCTTTCTCCGGGGGCAGCGACATGCTGAGGCCGGCGCCTCGCCGCCAATCCTCCCCGCTTCGGGCGCCCCAACCCCGCGGCGCGCGCCGGCCGGCCTGGGAGCGTCAGTCAGCGCTGAGCACAAAGCAGGCGCGGCCGCTCGCCCCGCGCAGCTCCCAGGGGCGCGACGCCGCGTCAGGCCCGGGCCGGGCAAGAGCCGAGGCTGCCACACCGGCAGCGCCCAACTGTTATTTTCAAACTGCGGCGGACAGCCAGCCTCGGGGCTGTCCCCCGCTCTGCCTGATCATCTCCGCCCGCCGCTCCCCCTCCCTCGGGGTCCTCACTCCGCGACCTCAGGGCACCCCATCGCCTTGCCTTGCCAGGATCTCCAGACGCGCTGCCCGCCCCCATGTCTTCCGCTGTTGCGGTCCCTTTCTGTCCTCCGAACCGGCAGGTATGTGGACAGGCCCCTCAGGACCCCGCGCCGAGGGTCTCGAAGGACCCCGCCCGCCTGGCCTCGTCCTGCCTGCCTGGTCTCTCTTCGCGCGTGTCGCGCGGCGATCCCGGGTCTCCGCGCGAGCCTGCGGCGTTGACCTTGCGGTTTTCGCCTTCTTGCTGCTGTGGTCCCTCCCCGCCCGGCGCTTAATCCCTTCTTCCCACGTAGGACCACCATGTTTGTTCCCTGCGGAGAATCGGCTCCCGACCTCGCGGGTTACACCCTGCTGATGGTGAGTCCCCACTTTCGCGAACTCTCCACTGCCCGGCTTGGGGCTGCTGCCTCTCGGGAGGCGCCTCCACCTCGTCTCGGCCTTCCCGGCCCTGGGAGCACGGGTACCGGTTTCTCTTCCAGGTTTTCGGCCTTCGGGGAAAACACTGGGAGGACGTGGCCGGAGGCGGCGGTCCGAGCAGAACCTTTGTTGGCGCTGTCACCGAACGTATCTAAGTCTGCAGTGTGTAGTTTTTGCTGACTAAAACCTAAAGTGTTTGGATATGACAGATAACGTTGTACGTACGTCGTGCGGGTCATTTTCTTTACGTTTTATCCCGGAAAATCCTTTTTCAGCTAGATTTAGAGTCATTCTTAAGCTAGCAAGTCCTTGTCGTTAATCAGGAAACTACCGATAGGGTAATAAAAGTGGAGTTTACAGTCTAAGTGGAAACACATGTAAATCAGTAAATGCTAGGGTAGAAATTTGAGAAGGGTACAGAAAGGCCCTAGGCATTATTGGGAGAGGGAGGGGCACAAGGACCTTCAAGAAAAGGTTTGTGTGTGAAATCTTAAAAAAAAGAAACAAAAAACCCCTCATAGATACAGAGAACAGACTGGTGGTTGTCAGAGAGGGGTGGAGGTGGTTAAATGAAATAAGTGAAAATAATCAAAAGGTACGAACATCCTGTTATAAATAAGCTCTGGGGATGTACACCGTGGTGGCTATAGTTAACAATACCGTATTGTATATTTGAAAGTTGTTAAGAGGGTAGATCTTAAAAGTTCTCATTACAAGAAAAAAAATTTGTAAGTGTGTGTGGTGATGGAGGTGAACTAAACTTATTGTGGTGATCATTTCACAGTATATACATGTATCAAATCATTAGGTTGTATATGTAAAACTGATACTATGTTATATGTCAATTATATCTGAATTTTTTAAAAAGAATAATGATAATAGAAAAATCACTTTTTGGCGACTTTCATCATAGTAATGCGCACAAGAAATATCAATGAATGCTAAAATTAGCATGGGATAGTGTACTGAGGAAGACATAATTTCAAAGTATGTCACGGAAAAATATGTAGTAATCACAAAAAGGAAAAAGTATCTTTGCAGGAGACACTTGGCAGAAAAAGAAAAAAGCTTCATAGAGAAAGTAATGTCTCCAAGATTGTTGGTGGTAGCCTTGACACTTGTCAGTTGGAGTAATGAAGAAGGAGGCCATACTGGTGTGGGATGAATAGATGGGGAAGAGGCGGAGATGTGTGTGTATTCATTCATTCGTTCAGAGATAAAGTTCCTGCATGTTTCATTGGACAACTATGGGGAATTTTGGCTGTGGAGGGACACTGAGAAGTGAGGTGGTAGCTAAGAGAGTATGTGGGATCAAGACAGAGTTTTTTAAAAGGAAAGCTATCTGGAGGCTGGCCTAGTGGTGGAGTAGTTAAGTTCACGAGCTCCGCTTTGGTGGCCCAGGGTTCACAGGTTCCGATCTCCAGGCGTGGATCTACACATCGCTCATCAAGCCATGCTATGGCAGCGTCCCACATAAAAAATAGAGGAACATTGACACAGATGTTAGCTCAGGGCTAATCTTCCTCACCAAAAAAAAAAAGGAAAGAAAGGTATTAAAGCATACGTGTATGCTGATGGGAAGAATCCAATAGTGAGGAAAAGATGGATGATACAGGAGAGTGAGGGTCTACCCAAAGTGGCAGAATCTTTGCGAAAGGGAAAGGGAATTACAGGAGATAGCGAGGGGATTAGTAGGTGACAGCAGCGAGGGGTGGAAGAGCACTCTGAGGGACCCAGAAAATAAGATGAAGGCCACAAAAAAAGCAACTGCTGGAAGAATGCAAAGAAGGAGCTACATTAAAGAGGTACTTTAAAGAGAGAGTCGATGAAAATTAGTCGTGTGTTAGAATGTGGTTAGTAAGGGAAAGGGAAGAAGTTTCCTGGTTTAGGTAATTGGGTGAATAATTGTTGCTCTTTTCTGAAATACAAAATAGAGGAACAAGTCAGGGCAAAAGTTTAGTTTTGTACATGTTGAGTGTGAGTTGCCTGTGACATAAGCATGTGGAGATACCCACTAGGCTCTGGCGTTCAGATAGGGTTCTGGGCTCTAGGTAGAGATTTGGCGGTTGGACTGTTTAAGTCACGGGGGTAAGTGTGTGTGTGTTTAGTGTGAAAAGAAGCTCACTCCAGCCTTTAGGCAGTGACAAAGCAAACAGAAAGAAGAGCCTTTTGTCCATCCCTCATGGCCTTTACACTTGCTTGCCCACCACCTGGAATAGTCTTTTCCGTGGTCTTTGTGTGGCTCCCTCCCTTACCCCTGAAATCCCTTACCCCTTTCAGGTCTGTAGTTACTTGTCGCCTGAAGTGAGTCTTTCCTTGATCACTCTGTTTGAAATTGCAACCAGCCACGTGGACACACACTCTCACTCACTTAATTTTTCTCCATAGCACTTACTACTGTGTATTTTCCTATTTGTTTTGTTTTTTACAGTAAACCACTCCCTCACTAGAATGGAAGCTCCACGAGGGCAGGAACTTGTTCGATTAGTTTTACTGCATTCCCAGTGCCTAGAGCCATGATTGACATGTAGTATAATATGAAAGAGTCAGTATCTAGCTATGAGGCACCTGAGCATAAGCATTTAGTTCTAGTGCTGTGATTACTGTCTTCTGTCTAAACTTTTTAAAGTGCTGCTAATTTTGATGACTTAATGAATGTATTTTTTATTTCAGCCAGCAGTATCTGTTGGAAATGTTGGCCAGCTTGCGGTAGATCTGATTATTTCTACGCTGAATATGTGTAAGATTGGTTACTTCTATACTGATTGTCTTGTGCCCATGGTTGGAAACAACCCATATGCAACTGCAGAAGAAAATTCAGCAGAGCTCAGTACAAATGCTGAAGGTATGTAAGGCTTCAGCATGTTTTGTTCTACTACAAGGTAGAGTTGTTTTAAATTAGAAATATGCTCCAGATACTGTTTTGTAGCGAACATTTACGTGGTGCCAGTTCTCTGCACAATGTACAACCCAGTCACGTTGTCCTCTTCTCTTACATCCTGGTTTTAGTTCTTAGCCTTTTCTAGATGGCAACTCCTATGAGGGACATGCTTATACTTGTATCTTTGGATACAGTTTGAGATTTCCATTTTTATAACATGGGGGTTTTCCCCGTTTTATCCTCAGTTTTATTTTCTGTTCTCACTGGCGTGTGTAAGCATCACTAATACCAAAGAAAGGGGAAAAGAGAATTCCCCTGGGCTCAGTCCTGTGAGTTTAATATGTGCTGCTTCCTCTGAGCCTCGCAGTCATCCTCTCACATTCTTCTAGAAACTGTAATAATATGGGATGGATAAGGCCCAGAGAGGTGGGTCTGCCTGATGCTACTGGCGGGCGTTGGCTTTTCCCGCTCCGTAAATCTCTGTAGGTCCTCATTGGACCTTCAAGCTTGGTGAGTCAGGGACCAGTTCACGTTGCCCGACCACTGTGTTTAGGACGCGGGACTGCACCGAGTGAGTGGGGGAAGTGCTGCTGATCCTGACCCCAGCGCATCAGCTACTTCGTTTGATGGCTGGCTGCTCTGTTGGCCTCTCAGTCTTCTGTTTACCATTTTAAGTTGAAAGCCGAAGGTGGTAGAGGAACGTGAAAGACCATTGGTGGGCTGAAAGACCAAGGAGAAGCATTTTATTTGTTGTCAGTCTCATTAACCGTGTCATTAGCTTGCGATAATGAAATACACTTTCAAGAAATAACCCTAGTATTGAAATTCCTGCAGGAAAGATGGCTTTCTTACCACAAGGCTGAATTTCAGTTATTGCTTTAAAAGTTAAGGACTATAAAGGGTAGAACTAGAATTTATATTTTTGCACTAATGACAACAGCTGTCAGTTATTATTTCCTATGAGCTGACCACTGTGTGCAATTACATGTGTTAATTCATTTAATCCTTACGACGACTCCATAGGTAGTTTTATCGTTTTATCGATGAGGAAACCATTGCACAGAGACGGTCAGGTCGCTTGATTAATAATTGGTGTAACAGAGCTTCTTCTCAAGCCGGCCTGGCCCCTGAGACCTGCCTCTTACACTCCAGTCCGCCCTGTGAATGTGCCTTCATGCTAGTGGGAGGCCCGCCGGCTTCCCTCTGACGCAAACCGGCAGCAGGCCAGTTGGGTGCGGTTCTTTAATCCACTTTTTCTTTTTTTTAAGATGAGATATTTTGAAATAAATTATAGACATTCCCCTCCCAAATATGTAAGCGTGCATCTCTTATCTTTTAAGAACATTTTCTTACATAGCTAAAATACCATCCCATTTAACAAAATTAGCAATTTCTTAATATCTTCCTATATGCCATCCTTGTTCAAATTGGCCCAGTTTATCCCAAAATGTCTTTTACAGTTAGTTTGTCTAAATCAGGACCCATAGTACATCTGATTGTTCTGCCTTTGAAATCTCTTTCACTTCAGAGTAGACTCTCTTTTTTCTTCTTCACCAAACTGATTTGTTGAAGGAAAAACTGGGCCCATTGTCCTATAGAATGTCCTGCCTTCTGCATGTCTGATTATGTCGTTGTGGTGTCATTTGGCTTGTTTCTCTGGGCTCTGTATTTTCTGTAACTGGAGTTAGGTGTAAAGCCTTGATTAGACAAAGGCTAGATGTTTTTGGCCAGAATACATGAAAGGTGGTGTTGCATTACATCAGAGGGAAAAAGTACTGGGAAACAGGATCTTAACAACAGAATAGAATTGCATGATACACTGATGGAGAACGTGAGTATCGCTGTTATAGAAGGTAATGTGTCTTACATTTTACAGCTTAGCCTGCCCTCTCCCTACAGATATGTCCTCTTCCTTCTAGCTCTGCTGTATGTGTATGTCAGATAGATTAGAGGCCTGAGTGACCTGTGCCTTAGTCCCTGTTCCCTAATTCCTCAACTTCCTGTGCAGCCTCCTTTGCCCTGAACGTACCTAGTGGTCACTAGACTTGCTGATGCGGCAGAGGCCCCAGTCACCTCACGCCACCCCACACCAGCGCAAGGAGGCAGTCCCAGAAGGCTGAAACAGGAGAGACATGCTCCACCAAAGGGTTTGCCCAAGTCTGGGTTATTTGGAATCTTTTTGTAGTAACTAAAAGCTTACCCCTTAGCACAGTGGCCTAATCATGTGTCCTTAGAGACTCTCTCTGTTGTCCTTGGTTCCTATCACAGCTTCTCCTTCTTGGAGGTGAAGTTGAGCAGGGACATCTTAAGCGTCAGTAAAGTGGGCTTCTTGTAGAATCTGATGAAAGTTGTGGATTCTTTTCCCAGAAAAAAAGCACAGACATTGATTCACAAAAAATTGTGCGTGTTGTTTCAGGTCTTTCAGAAACTCCTAAAGAACACAAATGTACCTATTCCAGGGATTTTATTGTATGGCTAACATTCTCCTGCATTTTATTTTTCTACTTATCCCAATGAGTGTTGCTGTTTTGTAGAAGGAAGAGGGGAGAATTCAGCAACCAAAAACTTTCTTAAGAATGATTTTATTTTATTGTAATGCCAGAAATTTCCAGGGGAATACTTCTCTAGTTTTACAGTCAAAGTCAGAAGAAAAATAACTTTTGATATTTTCTTATAGTTGACTTTTCAGAAATGAATCTATGCCATAAAATAGAGCCCACAGGTGCATTTTAAGGTACTTTAAAACGTTTTATTTTTACCAAATGATACGGTACGTATGTTCTATTTTTTTTTTTTCTGGGAAAGATTCGCCCTGAACATCTGTTGTCAATCTTCCTCTCTTTTTTTCCTCCCCAAAGCCCCAGTACATAGTAGTATATTCTAGTCATAAGTCCTTCTAATTCTTCTATGTGAGCCACTACCACAGCATGACTACTGACAGACCAGTGGTATAGTTCCGTGCCGGGGAACCAAACCTGGGCTGCCAAAGTAGTGTGCACTGAACTTTAACCACTAGGCCATCAGGGCTGGCTCTATATTTTAATTATTGAAAATATTTAGATACAAAAGTTCTTATAATTAAATTATAATTTTTTATCATATTAATAATTTCACTTGTATAACTCCTTCATTTTGATTATCATATGATTTCATTTTTTTCTTTTTAGTATATTCATTGCCTTCAAAGAAGCTAGTGGCTCTTCAGTTAAGATCCATTTTTATTAAGGTTAGTATGTTATCTTTTTAAGTTTATTAAAGTAAAATATAATGAGGAAATACTAAGTCTGTATCATTAAGAATTAAGATTCAAAAATCGTTTCTGCTCTTTACTGTATTCACAGTTAAAGGCCTAGTTCTATAAAGAAATTATAAAATTTCAGAGGCGTTAACATTGTTTCATGATTATATTTAAAGGAATTGGGACATATAGCTCGGGACTTACATACTCTTGATTCAGGTAGCACTGGGAAAAAAATATATGCATGTGAATATTAGAGGTTTATTCCATTTGTACTACATTTCAACCAGTGGCATCTACATTTAATGATGTATATATCAAAATAATTTTCTGAGTCCAACTTCTTCTTTCCCCTTCCTTTGCTCCCACTCTAGTCTAAACCACTGTCACCTCACGCCCCTGATTCTACTCTTGCGCCACCACTCCCCACAGACACCTAATAGTCTGCACACAGCACCCAAATGATCCTTTAAACCTAAATCAGATCATATCATTTCTCTTTTCAAAACCCTCCAGTGGCTTCCCATCTCACTTGAAGTGCATTCACAGCCTTTCCATGGCCTATTAGACTCTACGTCTGTGCTGATACAGTAGCCACTAGCCACATGTAGCTATTTAAATTTTGACTCATTAATTGAAAGTAAATAAAGTTAGGGGCTGGCCCTGTGGTGTAGAGGTTAAGTTTGTCATGCTCCGCTTCGGCAGCCTAAGTTCGCAGGTTTGGATCCTGGGTGCAGACCTACACCACTTGTCAGCCATGCTGTGGTGGCGAGCACATATAAAGTAGAGGAAGATTGGCACAGATGTTAGATCAGGGCTCATCTTCATCTGCAACATAATTAATTAATTTAAAAAATGAAATAGAATTTAAAATTAGGTCCTCTGTCATACTGGCGGCGTTTCAAGTTCTGCGTAGCTGCATGTGGCAAGCAGCTGCCATGAAGAGCATTTCTGTTATCATGGAGAGTTCTGTTGGACAGCTGCTCTACCTGATCTAACCTCCAGCCGGGCCTGTGTGCTCACTGCCTGTTTCCCCTTTTGCTCACTCTCCTTCGGCCACACTCGCTTCCCTGTGTCATTCAGGCAGATTAAGCTCACTCCTGTCTCAGTCTCTACACTGGTTTCCCTGCCTGGAATACTTTTCCCCTGGATACCTAAATGGCTCACTTCCTCTGGTCTTTGCTTAAATGTTACCTCTTCAGAAAGGCCTTCCCTGACTACCCTTCCTATCGTCTTACCCTGTGCTCGTTTTCTTTCAAGCTATTACTACCTGGCATGTGCCATATTATTATCTACCTCTAATAGCAAGTAAGTTTCCTGAGAGAAGTGATGGTGTCATTCGCTCTTACATCCCCAGCTTCCAGAATAGTGCCTTGCCTGTAGAGAAGCTCTCAATAAATGTTTGTTGAGTGGATTAAGGTACCTATATCTGTTCAGGAAATCAGAAATTTATCAACATCCTAGAGGCTCTTCCTAGTCATTATATCATTATATAAATGGAATCTTATGGTAGGTGCGTCTGTATGTCTAGCTTCCTTTACTCAACATTTTATTTGTGAAGTTCATCGATGTTGTTGGAAGTGGAGGTAGTTGTTCATTCTCACCTCTATATGGGATTCTGTTCTATAAATAAACCCTAATTTATCCATTGTATTGTTGATGGAACATTTGATTGTTTCCAGTTTGAGACTGAGGTGAATAGTGCTATGATTATTTTAATACTTATATTAGAATCACTCTTTACTTTGTTTAGTTAATAATATACCCAAAGTTTTACAATGAGAGTTGCTAACATTTTTAAATGCACCACGTGGCTTTTTTGTCCTCTTCGTAATATCGGTGTAAAGTCAAGAATTAACAATTCAGACATTTCTAAATGAAATTTTTAGTAGATGGAAGTAGAGTGATTTCAAAATAGCAAATGTTTATTGAGCATCGAGTCCTTGCACCAGTACTGTACTAAGTACTTTATGTACGTTTCTCTACTTAATCCACACCACAGTCCTCTGAGGCAGGTACTCACATTCTCCTCATTTTGCAAATGAGAAAACTGAAGCACACAAAAGTTAAGCAGTTTGCCTGAGACATGGTCTGTGGGAGGTGAGCCCAGCATTCTAGACCAGGCAGCCTGACTCCAGAGCCTGCCTCTCTTAACCAGTATAGTATACTGCCCTCCTATTTTTAAAAGTTAGCCATTTCTTACCTGCATTTTAAATTTTATTGCGTCTTTTATTAACAGTCTGTGAAAAGAGCTTTCATAAAGTGGGTTCCCCCCCTAAATTTTATAATCCGCATTCCAGATTAAACAACTGTTAACATCTGGCCACCCTTGGTTACCTTTCTCTCTCTAGGCATGTGCACACACAGTTTCCTTTGGCAAACAATCCAAAAGTAGACTAGCAACATCATGATATTTCACCCCTAAATATTTCAGCACACATCTTTCAAGAACAAGGACATTTTCCTTCACGACCACACACCACTACTACACCTAAGAAAATCAGTGTTTAATGAACATTCAGTAGTATCATCCAACATATTCACATTTCCCCAGTTGTCCCCAAAATATCCTTCAATTCTGGACCCAGTCAAGGTCCACATGTTGCATTTGGCTGTTACGTCTTTTCAGTTGGTATCCTTCAGTGTAGAACGGGCCCTCCTCCTCTTTCTGCTCCACAGCATTGACTCCTTTGAGGAACCAAGGCCAGAGGTTCTGCATTCTGGATTCGCCTGGTTGTTTCCTCATGATCAGATTCAGGTCAGAGATTTCTGGCAAGAACGTCTCATGGAGGACTATGTGGTAGATTTCAAGCAACAGTCGATCACTTAAGTGGAGAACTGGAAATTTTCCTTTGTCAGTCTGAATGGAATTCTTTTGAAATCTAGATTCCTCTTAATTAATTTGTTTCTTAATTGCAAAGATATAATTCATTGCTCTTCATTTTTCATCTTCAGTTTAAGGACAGCAAGTAGATGTCAAAGTAATTATAATTTTAAGATATGTAAAGATATGTCATCACATAAAGTTGATAAAATATTGTGTAGAGTACTCTTATAGTCTAGGATCTAACCTTTAGATTTTCTTTTTATTCTTTTAATGGTATGCAAAGTATAAATCAAAGCCATTCTGTGAAAAACTACTTTCCTGGGTGAAAAGTAGTAACTGTGCCAAAGTTATTGTTCTTTCAAGCAGTCATTCCTATCACCGTAATGATCTACAGCTTCGCAGGTAAGTTTTTGTCTTTGAAAAATTGTGTTATGATTTATACAGTATTATGATGAGTCTCTATTAAAAAGTTAAAATAAACTTGAAAAACCATGTACATCCTCTCCTCTCCTCCCTAGAATTTAGAAAGAAGGTAAAAGAAAGTCAAGGGACAGGAGGGAGTATAGTCAGGTGGATCCTTGTGGTTCCTGTGGTTGGGGCACAGGAAGGCTTTGGTGTAGACAGAGAGATGATTCTGGGACTGTGCTTTGATTGTTTGCTGTCATGTGCGTGGCAACATCACAGAGCTCAGCTGATGAAGAGAAAGAGGAGAAAGGATAACTTCGATTTCTTGGTTGATAATTTTTGAAAGATCGGGTTGAAATTTCTGTTTATTTCGTGTATTCAACCATTTGTCTTTGTGGAAATCCAGTTGCCTTTAAGGATAGCTCTCAGCCATGTCACACTGAGTTCTTAAATGTAAGACAAAGTATCCAAGAGATAGAAACATAATCTATTTTATTGCATTATCATTTATGTACCTATGAAATCTTGATGAAAAATATTAGCCTTTCAAAACTGGAGCTAACTTCTAGGACTCTCACAGAAGACATTACATTTCTGGGAATCTCACAATAGGCCTCACGGCCAGAAGAGCGCAGCTGTGGGAAACGGGCTTATCTTCTCGGTGGCCCTGCCTTAGTTTCAGTTTTCCTGTCTCTTTACACTCTCTCCTAAGGATGTAAATAACAGGCCAGAGCAATATTTTTTATGTTTTTTATCCGTAGACTGCTGAAACTTGTGTTTTTTTTTTGTTTGTTTTTTTTTTAAAGATTTTATTTTTTCCTTTTTCTCCCCAAAGCCCCCCGGTACATAGTTGTGTATTCTTCGTTGTGGGTTCCTCTAGTTGTGGCATGTGGGACGCTGCCTCAGCGTGGTCTGACGAGCAGTGCCATGTCCGCGCCCAGGATTCGAACCGACGAAACACTGGGCCGCCTGCAGCGGAGCGCGCGAACGTAACCACTCGGCCACGGGGCCAGCCCCCTGAAACTTGTGTTTTGCCTTGTGCAACAGAATATATGGAGAATGAGATAATTTTTGGTAAAAGAGTTGATATTTTCCTTAATGTTCCTGCTTGTGGGTTTTTAGAAAGCTAATTATATGATTCTTTCTAGTACTCCCTTCAGATACCTGCTGACACCTTCCTTGCAAAAAAATGTTGAAAGTAAAATAAAGAGCCTTAACTGGGAAGAAATGGAGAAAAGTCCATGCATTCCTGAAATAAGTGATTCTGAGTTTTGTGTCCGTGTTCCTGGAGGAGGTATCACAAAAACACTCTATGATGAGGGGTGAGTTTGTTTGCCTGGTTATTCGTTTGTTCCCCCTCTCATTTAAAAAGGAAAGAAGATAATTGGGAGAGTGTGTTGGATTACTTACTGGAACTTTGAAAATACATTTATAAGATAGGTACTGTATTATATTCACAGGAAAGACTGAAATTTCGTTGTAGGAGAATTGGTCCCTGAAAAGCCATATTTAAAGCTTTACTATCTATGGCCTATTAGGGATCCTGATACTTAATGAAACTTCTACAGTCAATCTTTTTTTTTTCTTAATGGTGGTAAAATATCTGTAACATTAAATTAACCTTTTTTTTTTTTTTTTTTTTTTATTAATGTTATGATAGATTACAACCTTGTGAGATTTCAGTTGTACATTTTTGTTAGTCATGTTGTGGGTACACCACTTCCCCCTCCGTACCCTCCCCCCACCCCCCCTTTTCCCTGGTAACCACCGATCAGATCTCCTTATCAATATGCTAATTTCCACCTATGAGTGGAGTCATATAGAGTTCGTCTTTCTCTGACTGACTTATTTCGCTTAACATAATGCCCTCGAGGTCCATCCACATTGTTGTGAATGGGCCAATTTCGTCTTTTTTTATGGCTGAGTAGTATTCCATTGTGTATATATACCACATCTTCTTTATCCAATCATCAGTTTCTGGGCATGTAGGCTGGTTCCACGTCTTGGCTATTGTAAATAATGCTGCGATGAACATAGGGGTGCAACGGACTCTTGAGATATCTGATATCAGGTTCTTAGGATAGATACCCAGTAATGGGATGGCTGGGTCATAGGGTATTTCTATTTTTAACTTTTTGAGAAATCTCCATACTGTTTTCCATAGTGGCTGTACCAGTTTGCATTCCCACCAACAGTGTATGAGGGTTCCTCTTTCTCCACAACCTCTCCAACATTTGTCGTTCTTGGTTTTGGATGTTTTTGCCAATCTAACGGGGTAAGGTGATATCTTAGTGTAGTTTTGATTTGCATTTCCCTGATGATTAGCGATGATGAACATCTTTTCATGTGTCTATTGGCCATATTCATATCTTCTTTTGAGAAATGTCTGTTCATGTCCTCTGCCCATTTTTTGATCGGGTTGTTTGTTTTTTTGTTGTTAAGCAGTGTGAGTTCTTTGTATATTATGGAGATTAACCCTTTGTCGGATAAGTGGCTTGTAAATATTTTTTCCCAATTAGTGAGCTGTTTTTTTGTTTCAATCCTGTTTTCCCTTGCCTTGAAGAAGCTCTTTAGTCTGATGAAGTCCCATTTGTTTATTCTTTCTATTGTTTCCCTCAACTGAGGAGTTACAGTGTCCGAAAAGATTCTTTTGAAACTGATGTCAAAGAGTGTACTGCCTATATTCTCTTCCAAAAGACTTATTGTCTCAGGCCTAATCTTTAGGTCTTTGATCCATTTTGAGTTTATTTTGGTGTGTGGTGAAAAAGAATGGTCAATTTTCAATCTTTTGCATGTGGCTGTCCAGTTTTCCCAGCACCATTTGTTGAAGAGACTTTCTTTTCTCCATTGTAGGCCCTCTGCTCCTTTGTCGAAGATTAGCTGTCCATAGATGTGTGGTTTTATCTCTGGGCTTTCAATTCTGTTCCATTGATCTGTGGACCTGTTTTTGTACCAGTACCATGCTGTTTTGATCACTGTAGCTTTGTAGTATGTTTTGAAATCGGGGATTGTGATTCCGCCGGCTTTGTTTTTCTTGCTCAGGATTGCTTTAGCAATTCGCGGTCTTTTGTTGCCCCATATGAATTTTAGGATTGTTTGTTCAATTTCTGTGAAGAATGTTCTTGGGATTCTGATTGGGATAGCATTGAATCTGTATATTGCTTTAGGTAGTATGGACATTTTAACTATGTTTATTCTTCCAATCCATGTGCAAGGAATGTCTTTCCATCTCTTTATGTCATCGCTATTTCTTTCAAGAAAGTCTTGTAGTTTTCATTGTATAGATCCTTCACTTCCTTGGTTAAGTTTATCCCAAGGTATTTTATTCTTTTCGTTGCGATTGTGAATGGGATAGAGTTCTTGAGTTCTTTTTCTGTTAGTTTATTGTTAGTGTATAGAAATGCTACTGATTTATGCACGTTAATTTTATACCCTGCTACTTTGCTGTAGTTGTTGATTATTTCTAATAGTTTTTCTGTGGATTCTTTGGGGTTTTCTATGTATAAGATCATGTCGTCTGCAAACAACGAGAGTTTTACTTCTTCGTTACCTATTTGGATTCCTTTTATTTCTTTTTCCTGCCGAATTGCTCTGGCCAGCACCTCCAGTACTATGTTGAATAGGAGTGGTGAAAGTGGGCACCCTTGTCTTGTTCCTGTCCTCAGAGGGATGGCTTTCAGCTTTTGTCCATTGAGTATGATGTTGGCTGTGGGTCTATCATATATGGCCTTTATTATGTTGAGGTACTTTCCTTCTATACCCATTTTACTGAGGGTTTTTATCATAAATGGGTGTTGGATCTTGTCGAATGCTTTCTCTGCATCTATTGAGATGATCATGTGGTTTTTGTTTTCATTTTGTTGATGTAGTGTATCACGTTGATTGACTTGCGGATGTTGAACCATCCCTGTGTCCCTGGTATAAATCCCACTTGATCATGGTGTATAATCTTTTTGATGTATTGCTGTAATCGGTTTGCCAAAATTTTGTTGAGGATTTTTGCATCTATGTTCATCAGTGATATCGGCCTGTAGTTCTCCTTCTTTGTGTTGTCCTTGTCAGGTTTGGGGATCAGAGTGATGTTGGCTTCATAGAATGTGTTAGGGAGTTCTCCATCTTTCTCAATTTTCTGGAACAGTTTGAGGAGAATAGGTATTAAGTCTTCTTTGAATGTTTGGTAGAATTCTCCAGAGAAGCCGTCTGGTCCTGGACTCTTATTTTTGGGGAGGTTTTTGATTACCGTTTCTATTTCCTTACTTGTGATTGGTCTATTCAGATTCTCCATTTCTTCCTGATTCAGTTTGGGGAGATTGTAGGAGTCTAGGAATTTGTCCATTTCTTCCAGGTTGTTCAATTTGTTGGCATATAGTTTTTCATAGTATTCTCTTATGATCTCTTGTATTTCATTGGTATCTGTTGTGATTTCTCCTCTGTCATTCCTGATTTTATTAATTTGCGATTTCTCTCTTCTTTTCTTGGTGAGTCTGGCTAGGGGTTTGTCAATTTTGTTAATTCTTTCGAAGAACCAACTCTTTGTTTCATTGATCCTTTCTATTGTCTTTTTTGTTTCAATATCGTTTATTTCTGCTCTTATTTTTATTATTTCCCTCCTTCTACTGACTCTGGGCTTGTTTGTTCTTCTTTTTCTAGTTCTGTTAGGTGTCGTTTGAGGTTGCTTACGTGAGCTTTTTCTTGTTTAGTGAGGTGAGCCTGTATTGCGATGAATTTCCCTCTTAGGACTGCTTTTGCTGCATCCCAAATGATTTGGTATGTCGTGTTCTCATTTTCATTTGTCTCCAGATAATATTTGATTTCTTCTTTAATTTCTTCAATGATCCATTGTTTGTTGAGAAGCGTGTTGTTTAGTCTCCACATTTTTGCACCTTTCTCTGCTTTTTCTTGTAGTTGATTTCTAGTTTAATAGCGTTATGATCAGAAAAGATGCTTGATATTATTTCAACTCTCTTGTATTTATTGATGTTTGCTTTGGTTCCCAAAATATGGTCAATCCTTGAGAATGTTCCATGTGCACTTGAGAAGAATGTGTAACCTGCTGTTTTTGGATGAAGTGTTCTATATATATCTATTAAGTCCATCTGGTCTAATTTTTCATTTAATTCTATTATTTCCTTGTTGATTTTCTGTCTGGATGTTCTGTCCATTGGTGTTAATGGTGTGTTGAGGTCCCCTACTATTATTGTATTGTTGTTGATGTCTTCTTTTAGTTCTATTAAGAGTTGCTTTACAAATTTTGGTGCTCCTGTGTTGGGTGCGTATATATTTATAAGTGTTATGTCTTCTTGGTGGAGAGTCCCTTTTATCATTATATACTGTCCCTCTTTGTCTTTCTTTATCTGTTTTGCTTTGAAATCTACCTTGTCTGATATTAGTATAGCGACACCTGCTTTCTTTTGTTCATTATTAGCTTGGAGTATTGTTCTCCATCCCTTCACTCTGAGTCTGTGTTTGTCTTTGGGGCTGAGGTGTGTTTCCTGGAGGCAGCATATTGTTGGATCTTGTTCTTTGATCCATCCTGCCACTCTGTGTCTTTTGATTGGGGAGTTCAATCCATTTACATTTAGAGTGATTATTGAGACGTGGGGGCCTACCACTACCATTTTGTGTCTTGTTTTCCGGTTTTCTTCAGTTTCCTTTGTTTCTCGTCCCATGGTTTAATCTGTTCTGATGTAGAGCTGCTACTCTCTGTTGTTGTCCTTCTACTTATCTCCTCTGCTCTTGGTTTTGTAGCCCCTTTCCTTTTTTGGATTTTTCAGGAATGAGGGTTTTCCTGAGGATTTCCTGAAGAGGAGGTTTTGTGGCAATGAACTCCCTTAATTTTTGTTTATCTGGGAAAGTTTTTATTTCTCCATCGTATTTGAAGGATATTTTCGCTGGGTAGAGAATTCTCGGCTGTAGTTTTTGTCCTTCAGATTTTTGAATATATCATTCCACTCTCTTCTAGCCTGTAAAGTTTCTGCTGAGAAATCTGCTGATAGCCTGATGGGGTTCCTTTGTAGGTTAGTTTCTTTTGCCTGGCTGTCCTTAATATTTTCTCCTTGTCGTTGACTTTTGCTAGCTTCACTACTATATGCCGTGGAGTTGGTCTTCTTGCATTGATAAAGTTTGGAGATCTATTGGCTTCTGTCACCTGAAGATCCATCTCCCTCACCAGATTTGGGAAGTTCTCAGCCATTATTTCTTTGAATAGGTTTCTGCCCCTTTCTCCTTCTCTTCTCCCTCTGGTATACCTATAATCCTTACGTTGCATCTCCTAATTGTGTCTGTAATTCTCGGAGAGTTTCTTCATTTCTTTTAAGTCTTG